ATAATAGAAATATTCAACTCAAATACGCCCGTATTAAAATTAAGCATTTTTCACTTCACTGATGGCGTTTTGCACGTCTCGGATGCTTTTTCATATGTAATTAAGATAGTATATGTATACAAAGCACCCTGCAAAAATTTGAGGCTCAGGTGGTCCACTGGGTCGTAGTTCTAAAGTATGAGAAAAAGGACCAGGTTGCATACTAGTAACTTGTTATGCTGACCTGGACCACTTCAAACGTAAAAAACTGATATATGTGTTGAACAACACTTTTTCGTGGCCGATCGTCAATATTNATTTTTCCACTATACATACACTACGTACATATAATAGAAATATTCAACTCAAATACGCCCGTATTAAAATTAAGCATTTTTCACTTCACTGATGGCGTTTTGCACGTCTCGGATGCTTTTTCATATGTAATTAAGATAGTATATGTATACAAAGCACCCTGCAAAAATTTGAGGCTCAGGTGGTCCACTGGGTCGTAGTTCTAAAGTATGAGAAAAAGGACCAGGTTGCATACTAGTAACTTGTTATGCTGACCTGGACCACTTCAAACGTAAAAAACTGATATATGTGTTGAACAACACTTTTTCGTGGCCGATCGTCAATTACTTATTCGGTTGCCGAATGTGCCATGGTTCAAAAGGAGTAGTTGTCTAGGTGGTCCCATGTTGTGCAGTGGTGGACCAGAAGGGGTCCCATGTTATGCAGTGGAGGACCAGAAGTGGTCCCATGTTATGCAGCGTTGGACCAGAGGTGGTCCGGTCCAATGACATCGCAATGTTAATGTAACCATATTTTTTCCATATATTTGGACCATTTCGTTTCTAGTGTTGGTTACAAGGTAGCGTGGTCCTGTACTAGTAAATACTTAACCTAGTGCCACTTTTTAACCGACTTCCAAAAAAGGAGGAGGTTATCAGTTCGTCGGAATATTTTTTTTTTTTTTTTTTAATGTATGTTACCGCATGACTTTGCACCACGTCAACCGATTTCAATAATTCTTTTTGCTACGGAAAGGTAGTGTCTCAGAGGTGGTCCCATACTAAATTGGTTTTGATCCGATCATTGGATCATGAAATGTATAGATATATATATATTTTTTTAAGTCGGTTTTTTTTTGCTAAAAATTACTTGTTTCACGGCATGCACAGCGGTGACAACACATCGTCGCCTCAGAAAACGGATGACGAATGTGCAAAATCACGATTTTGATGCAGATTTACTAAGTTGGACATGCTCTTTCGATTTCTGCAATCCATTTTTTTATATCTCCATTAGTTTTTGAGATATTTCGTGCGCATTTTGTCGTATGTTACATAATATTAATGATTGGGTATGCCTTTTGTTGTATGTGCTGAAAATGCGTCACATACGACAAATTCCCATACAAACGTACCTTTTTTTTAATCATAAAACGTTTGTCGTATGTGGCACATACGACAAATTCCCATACAAATGTAATCTTTTTTTAATCATAAAACATTTGTCGTATGTATCGCAAAACTTTGAACTTACGACAATTGGATGGTCCTCTACTATAACGATACAATTAAAATTGAAAATTAAACTAAGTAACTAATTTTAAAATTTTAAATTTTTAAATTTTAGCTTGCACTGAGTCTCCAATGAAATGAAAGAGATAAAAATGTACAAAAGACTGAATTTAAGTATTGTTTTTTGTTTTTATATAAAGAAAACGTATGTTCGTAACATATTTACAGCATAAGAGATGTACAGATTTTTTTTATTAAATACATGATTATGTTTTTGTTATGTTTTTTCTAATAAGTAATCATTATTTAATAAATATGTCTGTTTTTTTCATCAAATTATACCATCGTCGTTGAAATAGATACTTTACTATTGTCGTATGTTCTGTGGACAAAACAAAGTGGTGAGTAAACGCTAATTACGACAAATGTATACGGAATGAAAAGTAAATTTTCTCATTAACGTTAAGAGATATTAAATGTAAAAATATGGGAAATCAAAACTAATAACACCAACTACGTCTCCTTCAAAAGTTACAAAAATCTACCGTACAGTTTCGGATTAATTCGACCTTAAACTTCAAAGTCAATTTTCTCAAAACCGTGTTTTGTAACATTCGACATCCGTTTTCTGAGACGACGACATACACACATACATGGTATGACATAATGCACTAATCGCGCGCTGTGATGTCAATTCAAACTCAACATTTGAAAACACGTTTACATGTATGGTTGTAGCTGGGTGTGCAAAGACGCTTGATACAATTGGTTGCGGCCAAGAGGGACCGGGTTCAATTACCATCAGACGGAACATAAAACTAAATTTTTTTTCTTCTTAATTATGATTTCATAACCATCTATGCACTTCACGAAAGCACGAAAATTCAAATTTAATAGGCAGAAGAGTAGGTACAATTCTACCTAGTTTTACATCACTATTTAGCTTCATATATATTCCTTCCTTCTTCTACAAAATTATTCTTTACTCCCTCATTATCTCACTAATTTGACATCACACCCAGTTGCTCTCAGTTCGATTGGCGTAATCTTGTATTCTATCATTCTTGATTCAAACCGATAAGTGTTTCATCGTTCATATAAGAAACACTGCAGAGATTAATCGATCTGCATATCAGGGAAAGTATTAGTATGCACACAATAGACATAGCTCGACTCGCATATCACAAAGGTAGATCTGTTGAAAGCGCGCTTCATGAATTCGTAGGCACTATTGAAAAAACGATAGAACTTAAGGAATATGACCCTGCCGTTTTTCTAGATATTGAAGGAGCTTTCAATAATGTCTGAACGGAGGCTTATCGCACTTTCTGAGCACAGCATTCAGCGCTCCATAGTCAAGAGCAGAATAATCAATGAGACCATAGGCACATGATAAGTGAACTAACAGAGGGTGCACTGGGTGATATTTATAAGTGGATCAAGCGCAAAGGATTGGGGGTTAACCCCTCCATGACACAACTGGTATTGTTTACAAGAAAAAAAAGTACACACTTTTTTTCCGCCAAGCAAAAGTCATTCTGGACTCCAACTTGAATTGGAAAAATAATTTAGAGGAGAGAGCCCAGAAATCTCTAGTGGCATACTGAACGCGCAGAAGGACCTTTAGGAAACAATGGTGACAGTAGAAAAGTGCAAAGACTCGCATGCCTTGGCATATCTTGAGCAGTGAGTAGCGAACCTCAGGAAGAAATTAAGATGATATTTCACTTGCAACCGCTGTAAATTTTCATCCAGAGCGCCCTCAGGCTCAGAGAGCACTGAATTCATAACGTCTGTTTAGGGCTTTAATACTAAAGTGCCTATTATATTCCCGAGCACAGAAAAACGGGATGAAGGACTGCCAGTGGCAGAGGGACTTCAATACTTAGGTGCCTATTATACATATTTCCGAGCAGAGAAGAATGGGATGCAGGACTGCCAGTAGCAGAGGGAGGTACATCCATCTATACTGATGGTTCAAATGTTTAATAAGGAACCGGAGCCGATCTATACTCGAAGGACCTTTAGATTAACCGGTCCTTTCGTATACCGAACGATTGAAGTGTCTTCTAAGCAAAGATCTACGCAAGTTTTTTTAAATATTTAGTAATAGAGTTCCATAAGATAAAGTCACGATCTTTGTCGCCACTCAAGCAGCACTGAAGGCAATAGGATGTAAAATAGTGAAATCGGGAATTGTATTAACTTCACTCTATGCTGCCTTCGCGGACATAGCAATATTGGAGGGAATGAGTCGGCTGATAAGATGGCCAGATCCAGGCAGAGATGCCGATAGAAGAAGCGGATAGCTCCGTACTACCAAATTTAAGTAATCACGTTGGGAAAATTAATGAATACACCGTGACCGCAACTAATGACTTGTTGAATAAACTGTGAGATCAGAAGATTATTTTGACCACGGCTGAGTACTAAAAGGATGTAGAACGTGCTGAAACTCAATAGGTCTGCAGTAAGTCTTTACCGGCGTCAACACAGGAACAGACTATAGAATCAATGCGTCAACGTTGGCGAATAGCAAGAAGCACTGTCTACAGGAGCTGCCGTGATGAGGATGAGGAAGAGTCCATTGACCACTTTCTGTGTCGATTTCCAGGTCTACAGACGAAGCACCTCAAGCACTTGCGTTCACGCTTCTTCAACAGTCTGGGCAAGCTAACGGAGGTGGAACTGTTGGATCTCCTCGGCTTCAGTAGGGATTCAGTAGAATAATGACTTAAAATTACATAGCTTTTCTCTCGGTTATGGGGACTTGCCTCCTTCTGGCACTCGGACATGTCTGTCTCCGAGTGAAAGTATGGAATATTCCATACAGGGCCTTCTAACTCAACCTAGCCTACAAACATCGGACCAAAGTTGTAATACCATTTCATGTTCATGAAAGGTATAATATTTAAATCAACATATGTATGTATGTATATAGATATAACGCATCATTATCAGTAACTAAGTTCGTAAAGGGAAAATGACTCATATTTTAGGTACATTCTGAATCAGTGGCAGCGTGCGAGTGCAATTTTAATAACAAGCAATATATTTTGTCAATATCTACTATATACTCCTGTTCGTGCCAGTTACATAGTTGTTAATTTAATAAAATTTAAGTTAAAAATAAAATGAAATAAATAAGAAAAGAACAAAGAAAGAAAAAATAATAATAACTAAGTTGGAAATCCCCTTGGTTATTTCAATTGCTGTATGCGTACACATACAAACGTCCATGCATGTGAATGGCGGGCGTCATAGCCTCATGAGGCTCATGTATGCATACATAACCTCCTAGTTGGTCCATAAATTGCTGATAAGTACTTATACTCTTCTATACTTCTATGATAATGTGTGATATTTACTCTGGCAGATATGTAGATAGGAAAATGGTTATCAGTTACCCCGTCTGCCACTTTTGCAGTTCCGCCAGCGAGAAGTCTTTGTGTACAGAGAGCCAAGAGCCAAGAGCTGTATCCAGTGACACATTTAAAAGGCCTCACTGCATAATTGCGTGCTTAAATCGACAAGAGAATTCGACGCGTTTAAACGTTACAAGACAACTAACGGAACAACGTGAATTTAAATTGCGAAACGATAATAAATATCAAAAAACAAATTTACAAATACATTGTACTTAAAAAAAAAACAACTTAAGTTTATATAAATAATTATAGAACATATTTTAAGTGCAAAAAATCATCCATTATGAATTGCCTGGAATCAATTGTTAAATACTTAATCTACATTGCCAATATAATTTTTTTGGTGAGTAAAGGACTAAACGCTGTAAAAAAATATACAGTTGAAGAAATAAACTCAAATCGGACCAATTTTTGAGATCATCTAAACTGTGTGATATGTGAAAAATGTTTCTGTGTGTCGACAATTCTACGTACTCTTAGCACTGAGGTGCAATTGTGAATTTTCACATTTGCTTAATGAATAATAATTATATTAGAGTGCATATGGTGTCGAACAGAATCGATAAATGTTTGTTCAGCCAGATAAAAATATACTCGTAACTACAGTTTTGTGCAAAATTATTAAGCAAACTTTTCGTAAAAACTGAACTGGGACTTAAAAAATTTAAACAAGCGCGATTTACTGTGGAAATCATTTCGAACATTTTAAATGAAATTTTCGTTCATTAAGCATTATTCACATATACTACGTACAAAACAGCCACAAAACGTCTAATGCCTTAATATTTAAATATTTTATAGTAGAAGAATAAATTAATTTCAAGCACATCTTTTGGATATTTTGTTCAATATTTTTATAATTTTAAACAAATTCGCTACAACCCCGTGTCACACGACAACACTCGATTTGCTCGAGAGCACTTGCAGCAAATATGAAAATTGCTAGTACAGCACAAGCAAGTTGAAATTATTTCACGAAAGTGAGTTGCGTTGATTCAGTTTTGCAGTTCCACCTTGCAATTTTTATTTCCGAAAGTGACTTCTGCAAATCTGCAAAAATGGCTTTTTCGTGTGTTTACACGGAAAAGTAGACTTTCGCTTTCTGACAGAAAAATGCGAAAAAACACAAATCAGTTTAATTTGAACTGGAATGAAAGCACGATTTCTATACTTAACCGAATCCAGAGTTAATTTCGCGCCATTAAATCAGATTTTTCATCTTCCATAGTGAAAAGTATATTCGAGAAAATTGTGAACAACAATCGATTTATGAGACTTATGTATGTCAAATTTCCACCTAGCATTCGATTTACGAAAAAAAAATTAAAGCGGTTTTGGTTAAAATATAAAATTTATATCTGAAATTCTTCAGTAACATATTTTTAAATCTTGTGAACACAAAAATTTTTCGAAGTAACGTTAAAAACTCAATGTGACGCCGTAAAATGAAATCCGTGCCGAGATTTAGTCACCCTAAAAGTATATACAGAGTAGGCATTGCCTCATTCCAGGGCCTTAACAGATAGTTTTTGTTGTGTGACTGCGTAAAAAGCCTCAACTCAGTGTTCTAATTGTTTTTCTCAACGCATGATTTGTTTATAGTTCGATTATTTGGGTATAGTTACATGGTAAAAATTTAATTACATTCTTTAATAATTGTGAAAAAAATATATTTTTTTTATTGACGGTGTTAGTCCTTTTCTTCCTTATGAAGTATATCCGACGATTTTTTAAATGGAGAAAATGAGCAGGACTAATGGGATGGGGATGGGATGGGCTAATTAAAAAGTTCGAAATTTTTACGAAAGTTTTCTTTTTAAGTTGCATGAAGAGTTTTTTTCGAAATCGATTTTAAAAATCCTATAAAAAATAGCACGGACATGTACAAATTGTTGATAATTACGATCAAAAAGTGTCAAGCATATGATTTATACCAATTCGTTGCTCAGTTATTACGCAATATTTTATGTACCTATCTATGTACATTAGGGTGGTCCAAAATAAGTAAAGTGGGAATTTTAATGTTCTCATCCCGTAGGATTCTTCTGTACTGGAAAAAGATAAACCCCAATTTTTTTCAAATCAAAAAATATTTATAGGTCGCTCAAAATGCTCAAAGTTTCTCATGTACTATTCTATATGGGGAAAAACAACTTTTCGTAGAAATGGTATGGAATTCTTGAAAATCAATATTTTTCGATAGGAAAACTGTGGTTCTCTTCAGGAGACTTCCAATAATAATACCCAATTGTTTATTGAACCATTTTTTAATACTAAAGAATTTTTATTTATCCCCCATTGAATTTTCTGGCATTTTCTGGGATTTGTGCAGGGCCTATAAAATATAGTTACTATGAAATAATTATTAAATAAATAATTGGACATTATTATTGGGAACCTCCTCTACGAAAAGTGGGTTTTTCGCATATAAAATACATGAAAAACTTTGAGCGACCTCTAAATATTTTTCGATTGCAAAATAAAAAATAGGGGTATATTTTGATTTCGGTATAAAACAATCCTAGGGGGTGAGAGCATAAAAATTCCGACATTAGTTTTTCACATGCATTTTTGGATCACCGTAATATACCTTCGTAAATGCATGTGTGTTCTGTTTATCTTGTATTTAGGTAGATACTTTTTCGACATGAAAGTTATTTTAACTTAATGAATGGAACGAACGTAATGTATTCCACAGGTAGTAGTTTTGATACATATTTACTCAGTAATTACGATTTTGTAGTTTACATTTTAATTATTTTATTTTTCCATGGAACTGAGCTGAAAAATTCATCGGGCGTATGTATATATCTATAAAATTTTTGTTGGCTGAGAAATACTCGTAGTAATGAAAGTACAGACAATTACAAGAAAATTAAGGTCAATACATGAAAATAAAAAGCAATGAAAGTTTGCATTTTTGTGGCCCTCACCCGCTTCGCTGAGTGTATGAAATTTTTGCGTGCTACATTGAATAAAATTTATTTCAAGAAAACTCAATTCAAAAACAGGAGGTTTAAAATTTGTTTAACCATCTTCAAAATATTTTCAAACTAAAACTTTCTTAAACTTCGCACTTGTCATACTTTTTCAACTCAATTGAGATTTTAAACAGATGAAATTAAGCCCTTTTAAAATCATTTTGATTGATATTGTTATAGTTCATTGAAACTATTGAATAGTTTGAATTTAACCTTTTAAACAGTTGGCAACCTTTTTAAACCTCTTTCGTCTAACACTCATATTGTGACACATATTCAAAACCATTTTGATTCATACCAATCTATACCAATATATATTTTGAAACCCGTTTTTTTTGTGTTCGCAAAGCTTGAGACCGGCCGAACCGATTTTTTCTTTAATTTCCGACACCTGATTCAGACTTCCCAAGGATTATCATAGGCTAAACAAATTTTCGATATATAGCGGGGGCGTGGAACCTCCCATACAAACCGAATTTTTCATACCGAATATCTCTGGAAATGTTCATGGTAGAGTACTGGAACTTGGTGTGGAGACTCGGTGGAGAGAATACAGAAGGTGGCGCCGATCGCAACACCGCTAATCGGCTCTCGGTGAATTTGACAGAATCAGCTGCTTTGCTGACGTCACAGTCACAATATTCAAAATATATATATTATTAACGGTACAGGCAATACTATTGCAAAATAGAGCTGCCACGTGGCGCTGCAGTGATTACGAATAATCGTCAAGTTAGAAGCCGTGAATGTCAGAATAAATAAACCTGTTGCACCATTGAGTATATCGAATTTTAATGTGTTACGATTGGCCCAATGTATGTGATTTTTGCAAGTATTGTTATGCCTTAAAGCTTCATTCGGAGGCAGGGGTAAATCTCAAATCACCACCGATAAATCAACCGCCAAAACCATCGCGCGCCTTTTACTGTAATAAATTCAAGTAAAAAAAAAAATTATTTTCACTTAAATTGCTTTCGTGAAACTTACTTTTAAGGTATTTCGTCTGAAATAAGTCTATGTATATTGGATTTCTGTAGAACAATTAGACGCATCCATTTTGAAATTGCCACCAACTATACGATTAAGTTTCTTGGACAGAATTACTATAGAACCAAATCATTGTTGCCGCCAGGGAGTGAAGAGGAAATGTTCTTCAAATTTATTTCGTTGTGAGGTTAACCGTTCTATGAAATGTTACACAATTAGAGAATTTCAAGAACTTCATCACGGACATAACGCTTTCGTTAGGTTATTTAAGGCGGAAAACGACCACCAAACCAGTAGGCGTTCAACCGCCTTCTTTATAACAACGACTTCAACATGAAAGACGCTGCAGTGGTTGGGTAAGCGGAATGATATTTCCCGCCACAGCCGGGCTGAGAAGACCTTTATTTTAAATAGCTTTTCCTTTGCATTTTGATGTCCATCTACATACATACACTGAAATCATATCCAACTTCCTGAATTTCCACACATTGTAGTACAGATCTCTTTTTCAAAAAAGATAGTGATTACTAGTTATGGTCTGATTATGCATACTTCGCATAACTTCGCACAACTTCGCATAAACTTCAAACTGTAATTTCGTATGTACTTTGTATGTATTTTGTATGTATTCCATTACCCAGAAATTATCAGCACTTTTAAAAACTTAGCGATCTGTTGAGTTTAGATTTTGCTTCACATATTCTTAAGTTACACTTTTAGTGCACTGGTACAAATGGTTGGGCGAAGTTATGCGAAGTATGCTTAATCAGACCCTTAGGCTTAATTTATAACAATTAATAAAAAATGTGGTGATTTCTACCATTCTTCTACCATTTTTGTTCAAATTATTGTTGCTTTTCCACAATAAGTCTTTCATTAAAGCGGCCTCAAGCTCAATAAAAATTTGTTGAATTAATAAAAAACTTAAAAAGGATACTGAAATTGACCTGATAAGATGATTCAATTGGCTTCTGATTCAACGAACTTTAAATATTTTTTTTTGTTGTCACAAATCACAATTTCCGAGAAAGTACATATCTATATAAATATTTTTCCCACGAAACCCCTTATTTTTTGGAAAATGTTTATCTTTCCTATTATATCAAGTGCTAGTAGATAGAGAGTTTGGTAAAGCTTATCTTTTACAATTAAGCGAATTGGCATTGTAAAAGTTGCAAACTATGCTTTACCACATGCTGCCATTAAAAAGTATCTACCTAAGTAAACTTTGGTTCCGCTATGTGCACCAACTCTCTTTATTATGATAAATGCTTATTGAGATTAGATATGGGGTACTTATCAACGCAGAAAAAGTTGCCACTACATACATATGTATGTACATCAACTGTCTGTCTATATTGGCAACCATGCTCATTTTATACGAGCAGTGTTAAAAAGCAACTAAATAATTGCAGTGAAAAAAGGTATTATGTAAATGTGGTTAAATAAATATTGGTAGAACTTGTGATAAAATCAGAGTATAATAAACCTTGACTACATTTGTACATAATTCAGTCCAGGAATAATGTCTTTATGAAAAATGTTTCCAATCACTCGAAACCTTCTATGATTCGAAGTAAATCGAGATCTCTTTTGAGACCAGAGTTGGGCATTATTCGAATAAATTGTTATTTAGATAATTATTCGAATAAAATTTTATCCGTAATATAATTATTCGCAGATAACTTATTCACGAATAAATTATTCGTGAATAAATTGCTTGCGAATAATTTATTCGTTATTTTATTCGTTATTTTAAATAATGAATAAAAACTCACTTTTAACATATTGAGCCACCTTTTACTTTTATTTCTATTGTCAAGGATTGTGAGTTAGCTGAACTCTGTTTACTATTTTATCAAGAATACTAGCCCATTCCCTCTGGTTTCGCGGCCCCTGATAAGATTTTTTGCGTTGGCCAATGCAAGAATAGCGTTGAAAACCAAATATGGGTAAAGTAAAAATTCTCACAAATATTTCTGCAAAAAAAATAGCGCTCTGATGCTATATGCAAGAAAAAAGTCCTTTCAATGTCATGAGCTTTACCAATGGTCTTATTTCCACTTGTGAGATCTTTTCTAAGCGTGCGTAATCTTCTTTTATGATCTTGCAACTACAACATTGGTCCGATGCGTCAACCTCTGGTCTTATGTCATGTAGGCCAACAAAAGACCTTATAAGGAAGCTGAAGAGCACAGATGTGCGTTTTCTATTATAGGAGGGCCAAAAATCCTCGATGTAAAATTTGGCCATTGATATACCAACAGTGGTCTTTCTTGGAAGGATGTGGTCGAAACTTTCCTTGCTGATTCGCCACTTTTAAAATATCCAAGAGCTGGTTTCCTTGAGTCTTACTGCTGCAGCAATGACCGCCCGAGCAATTTCATTAAGCGGAGGTAGATGCAAGGTCGCATTTAGGGTGTATGACGACGTGAGACATCGTAAATTCGTATAATATAAACATAAAAACAAAGTAGTCCCTATATGGGTTTCTAATGATTTCGACTGCAGCGCCATTATGAATTGCAACCTGATTGTACAATAAGTATGGATTTTCTAAATAACTCAACTGTAGCGCCACCTAGCGGGTCCATTTTTCGCATAAATATTTTTCATCATGCAGGAAGAACAAATTTTGAATTTGAACGAAATCAGTTCATAAATGTGGCTTTTATAAATAACTCGGCTCCATCGCCACAAAGGAGTTTTCTAGTAGCCTTTAATAGGACTTTATGCGCATGGAATAACCTCCGAAAATTTGATTTAAATCTATCCAGGGGTTTGAGTTAAATCGCAACAACGAAAACGGTTATCATTTTATACATAAATATATGTACATATCTATATACATAAATTACCTGTTTTATTATTATTTTATTCGTTATTCGAATAATTAATGAAGATAATAATTATTCGAATAAGGAATAAAATAATTTATCCGTCATTCGAATAATTTTTTTTTTAATAAACAAAATTATTTATTATTTACGAATAACAAGAAAAGCAATTTATTCATTTGTTATTCATCATTCGAATAAATTTTGCCCAACTCTGTTTGAGACAAGTCGCTATAAGTCATAAAAATACATACACCGTACAAAATCCTTCTAAAATGAAAAGTTGTCTACAAAAAATTTTAGGTAAATCGTAGTGAATGCTTGAAATTAAAATCTGGAAATAACTTGCCTTAATTTAACCACTGGACATAATATTTTTAATAATTAATATCGGCAGAATTTTAATTTACTGGAAATTTTTTTTTTATTGTTTAACACTTCAAATATTTGTGTTTAATTTAACAACTGGACTTAACATAAATTTTGATGCATATAAAAATTGTTCAAAAACAAAAGGTTTTAACCACATTTAGTGTGCTAATTTTAAGTGTGTCCAGTTTTTAAAATACCAAATCCGCATGACCAGTTTTTTATTACATATATAAAATAGGTGGCCAAGTTTTAAATTACTAAAAATGTAAGCCCTGTTTTCAGATATTCAATAAATGCGCTGTTTCTAAATTACCTAAACTTTGAGTCCAGTTTTTAGGTAGTCAAAAAATTTAATTACCCAAAATTTATTTAAGTTACTTGTAGTTAATGCTTAAAAATAAAAACTGGAAATACATTTTTGTCATTTTAAAATTAGACGCAATATTTCGCTGATTTTAAAACTGGTAATATATATATTCTTTTTTGTAATTTAAAAACTGGAAATGTTTTAAGAAATTTAACAATTGTAAATAAAATTGATTTTTCGGGCGATAAAGTCAGATGAACTCCCAAAGAATTGTGCTGATTCTTACGATTTTAGTTACAAAAAAATTAGATCTTTTCCCAGAAGAATTCATATTTGGCTATTTTTCATGAAATTTCAATGTTATAATTTATGTGTATGCATAAATGAAATTTTCATAAATTGGTATGAGGTCAAGTCGCAGTTTGAAATGACCACTAATTATTCTAATATCTACAAAAATTCTTCCCAAACCATCCATAATAATTTAATATTTTTTTTTTTGTTTTGCTCTCCAACAGGTATGTGGCATACTCATTATCGTTTTGGGTGCCTTTATGATCAACAATATTGGCGATTTTTCATCAATTGAAGATGCTATAGATGTGGACACATTGCCCATCATCATTATTATCCTGGGTTGCATAATATTTGTGATATCCTTCTTCGGCTGCTGTGGAGCGATACGTGAAAATTCGTGTTGCATGACAACGGTATGTAAATTTGTATAATATAAAAACAGAATTGTACCTGATAAACCAAACAAATATCTCATACTACAATTTCAAATATTTCTTCTTTCAATTCGTAACAGTATGCCGTATTTATGTTCATTTTATTCTGCCTGCAAGTTGCTTTGGTTGTATGGGTATTTGTTCAACGATCGGAATTCTTGAAGACTATGAGGGATTTGGTCAACACCACTTGGGATAAAAATGATAATTCTGCCAATGGTATTCATCCAATGGATGCCTTGCAAATCAGCGTAAGTACTTAGAAGAAATTAATTTTTTTTAATGGATAGTGGACCCCTAATACTTAATACCTGTGAATGTCTATGCTTTCTCTCCAACAGTTCAAGTGCTGTGGCAAAACAAGCTCGGCCGATTATACGTCAGCCGGTAAGGATGTCCCCGTATCGTGTTGTGGCTCCCTCGACGCCACCACGTGTCCTGCAAGTGTTTACCTAACAAAGCCGGGCTGTGCTGATGCATTCGTCGATTTCTGGGCCACAAACACGAATATCATTCGTTATGCAGGTATTGCGGTAGCGGCTATTGAATTGGCGGTATTCACGATTGCCTGTTGTCTGGCGAGTAGTATGCGCAATTCGCGAAGGCATTGAAGGACTGAATTAATGCACGAGCATTGCGGTTCGGAAATACATACATATAATTCAAAAATATGCTGTAATCTCGTTTGTTTAATACAAATAATAAATTGCGCATTGTGGTTTAATTTATGTAGAAAGCATTTTATAAGTTAAGTAAAGAGATAATATTTATTGTTAAACACTTGTGTTATTATTATTGTTTCTAATATTAAACCGTGAATTAAAAATACTTCTTTTCTATAATCGTTAGTTTTCTTAAAAAAAAAAGGAATCTCTATGTTTAATGAGTTTTCAACGCATAAGTACGAATATAACTACCTATAAATTTATTAATTATTGAGGCGTATTCTAGTTTTCGTACGAATCCAAAAATTTGAAATTTTTGTATAGAAGAAAATAGGAAAATTTCATGATTTTCGATTCGTACGAAAACAAGAAAATGCACCATTATATCTTTATTTTTATATCAAGAGTTCGATAAACAACCAATAAATTTTTCGGTAATAGCAAAGATTTCTCAACAAAAATGAAACTTACACATATGCGTGTATATGTATGTACATAAATATAAATGTATATGGAGATCAAGTAAATACGACTCATTTAGTTTTTACAAATATTCACAACGTTTTAGGTGATAATTTTTTTCGTTAATTTTTATAAAAATATAATAGATTCTATAATATAAACCATATATGTAAGTCAAAGTTTAAAACTTTGTGCACAATTCAGGAAAATTTAACAATGTTAAAAAAAATGTCATCAAGACTTTCAACTTTTTATACAGTAATAGAAATTAAAAAAAATCAAAACTTGCATTTTCGACTTTTGTCTTTTTCGTCATTGTTTTCAATTGAATACTAAATACTAAAATTGAATAGGCTACAAAACTGCATACCCATATGAGTTTCTCAAAATTCTGAAAAAAAGTTGAAAATTTGGTTTAAATTATGTTATTAAAGTTATGCACAAAGTTTTAAACTTTGACTTATATGGTTTATGCTATACCATCTACTATTGTGCATATTGTAAAAAGTAAAGGTTTACTATTTACGTGATCGCCACTGTTTGCATAACGAACCTCGGTGGTAGTTACATTAGGGGTATTCTTGGAGTCTTGCAAAGCCCTTACTCGGTGCACGGATTGCACGGTTTGCAAAGGTGTCCCATAGAAAAACCAACTTTTACCGTGCAATCCTATTAGGGGTATTCTCTGAGTCTTGCAAAGCCCTTGCAAGGTGCACGGATTGCACGGTTTGCAAAGCTGTCCCATACGAAAACCGGTTTTTACCGTGCAATCTGTGCACCGTGCAAGGGCTTTGCAAGACTCAGAGAATACCCCTATTGTGTTTGTTGGCCATTTCGGCAATATAGGAACTGATGTACCTTGAAACGAATTTATCTCGATTTTAATGTGTATGGGACATTACACGTCAATGAGAGAACGACTTGTTCAAAATTTGTGAAAGTATACGGTCGCTGTGACTGCGTACTACCACTCCGTAGGACCTGGGTCCGATAGCTGACAACATCTGAATTTAGAAAAGCGTTAAATATTTATTTTGGCGAAAAACCATTGGAATCTTTTCGTATACATTTTATTTACACACGTTTTACCGTTAGTTTGTCGTTTGCTGTTCAAAATTGTCTATATTCTCACTTTACTGTCAAAGTATAGTCATTTAGCATAAAAAAATGAATTCTAGTGAAGTTAAATTTTAAAGGCCAAATAACTAAAGTTATATTCAAAAGATTCGATCCAAAACTTACTAGTAAATGGGAAAATGTGTATGTTTTCGCTGTGTATTCTCTAGTGGTATTCATCTAAGCCGATAACTTTATCAAGCAGATAATCTTATAAGTTTACGCACTCTGTTACATGAACGACCCACACTCTCTATTCGTTTACACTTGCGACAAGAGTCGTGTTTTCTTTTGGTTATCGAGCTCAATATCACTAACTTTATATTACTAGCACGAGGATAAAGAAATTATAGAAACTAACTCATTAAATGGGGAAAAATTATATTTACGAGATAATATCTATTTCAATAAATGCACATATAACATAAAGGCGATTTATTTGAAGCAATTTAAAGGAAACAATGACAGAATATCTGTTTGTATATGAATTCATTTGTCACTGCTACCAAACTGTGCGGCCAAATTATCAATGAAACAAAACAAACAGAACGGATAATAATTGAACCAGAACTCTATCAGGATTATATAGTTGTTGTTGAATTTGCGTGCAAAATTTTTATGCGGATCCCGATTATTGCCCAAGAAAACATAGCTAGAGTTGCGCCAGAGTTGCATTGGCTTCAGTTTATCAAGTTTATTTAGTGAAATCGCTGGAGAAATTTATCAGAAATGTGTAAAGGAGTTTCCATACAAATTTTGACAGTTCATTTATAAGGTTTACACAATTATAAGTTTATACGGTTTACAAAGCATTTATAAGGTTTGATGAATACCCTTGCTGTGACTATGAAAAGAAAACCAATCGTGGTTCAGAAGTGAAAATGTAAAAGCGGCCTGACGCACAGTGCTTCCCTGCCATATAAAATGTGTGCAAAAATAGAATTATGGACGGATTTAAATGAAAATGCGCTTCTTAGTAAAATTGAGTACGCTAAATTCAAAAATGCAATTGGTTTTTGGATAACTCTCATAATTTCACTGTAAATGCAGTTTTAAGTTGAAAATTTAGGTTCTTGTGGCTTTTACATAGGTATGCACATATAGTTCGTTCTATTTTCAAAAGTGAGGTGTCAGATGACAGTGCTTGACCTGTAGATGTGCAATAAAGTTTTTTATTTTTGAAAAAGGTTGCCACCTGTTACAATTTTTTTTTTAATTATTTAATAAGTTAAATGAATTAGATATTACAATATGGGTATCAATTTAACTAGTTTTGAAAATACGTTACCTCTAAATGACACGTAGAAGGGTTGCCACATGTTTAAAAAATCAAATTCACTTTAACTAAGGGAATAAGGTAACTGAAATATATATATCAATATGAGTATCAGACCAATGAAAAAATTTGACATATTTAGCAAGAAATAAGTGGAGATTAAAAACATTCCGGAGTTAATTTAAGAGTCCAGTAATTTAAAAAGAATGTAATCAGAACAAATCACTGATTGACAATGTATGTATTTGTAATAAAACAACAAACACGATGGCGTAGTCTTATGGTTTGATGTAATTATTATTTTAGTTTAACTAAATTCGACTTTACAAACAGGTGGCAACCCTGTTCGTAATATTTTTAAGCTAAAACCCTCTTAAACCTCTGATTTTTAAAACAGGTGGCAACTCTCTACATTTAGCTAATACACATTTCGATTGATACCCATATCTTAATAATTCATTTAACTTATAAAAAATGTAATCTAATTTTTTAACAATCTAATTTTTTAACAGGTGGCAAATNGTTGAATTTGCGTGCAAAATTTTTATGCGGATCCCGATTATTGCCCAAGAAAACATAGCTAGAGTTGCGCCAGAGTTGCATTGGCTTCAGTTTATCAAGTTTATTTAGTGAAATCGCTGGAGAAATTTATCAGAAATGTGTAAAGGAGTTTCCATACAAATTTTGACAGTTCATTTATAAGGTTTACACAATTATAAGTTTATACGGTTTACAAAGCATTTATAAGGTTTGATGAATACCCTTGCTGTGACTATGAAAAGAAAACCAATCGTGGTTCAGAAGTGAAAATGTAAAAGCGGCCTGACGCACAGTGCTTCCCTGCCATATAAAATGTGTGCAAAAATAGAATTATGGACGGATTTAAATGAAAATGCGCTTCTTAGTAAAATTGAGTACGCTAAATTCAAAAATGCAATTGGTTTTTGGATAACTCTCATAATTTCACTGTAAATGCAGTTTTAAGTTGAAAATTTAGGTTCTTGTGGCTTTTACATAGGTATGCACATATAGTTCGTTCTATTTTCAAAAGTGAGGTGTCAGATGACAGTGCTTGACCTGTAGATGTGCAATAAAGTTTTTTATTTTTGAAAAAGGTTGCCACCTGTTACAATTTTTTTTTTAATTATTTAATAAGTTAAATGAATTAGATATTACAATATGGGTATCAATTTAACTAGTTTTGAAAATACGTTACCTCTAAATGACACGTAGAAGGGTTGCCACATGTTTAAAAAATCAAATTCACTTTAACTAAGGGAATAAGGTAACTGAAATATATATATCAATATGAGTATCAGACCAATGAAAAAATTTGACATATTTAGCAAGAAATAAGTGGAGATTAAAAACATTCCGGAGTTAATTTAAGAGTCCAGTAATTTAAAAAGAATGTAATCAGAACAAATCACTGATTGACAATGTATGTATTTGTAATAAAACAACAAACACGATGGCGTAGTCTTATGGTTTGATGTAATTATTATTTTAGTTTAACTAAATTCGACTTTACAAACAGGTGGCAACCCTGTTCGTAATATTTTTAAGCTAAAACCCTCTTAAACCTCTGATTTTTAAAACAGGTGGCAACTCTCTACATTTAGCTAATACACATTTCGATTGATACCCATATCTTAATAATTCATTTAACTTATAAAAAATGTAATCTAATTTTTTAACAGGTGGCAAATTTAAAAAAAAAAAATAAACCTTCTATTGTCCACAGGTCAAGCTTTTTAATCTGACACTTCATTTTTGAAAATGGAACGAATCGTGCAGATCTCAGACTTTTTTACTTGTTATACTTGATTTCAAACTGAACAAAAAAAGTCAGTGATGCCACAAAAAAAAGGCCGCACCTGGGACCATATTTAAATGTAATGAGCCCTTATCTTTTAACTCTGAGAGGAAACATTAATTAACAGATTTAACGATCATTAGTTATGTACCCGCTAGAGCTAATTTAACAAATATTTCTGAGTGCGGCTGTTAGTGTTGTCAAAATTGTTAGGTTATTTCTGGGCTCGCATTCTCTTGGGCAGGGGCCCTCTCGGATCGGGGGCTCATGGTATTTTGCTATTAATGCCACCCTATAGTTACGCCTCTGCATACTAGGGAAGATGTGTGAAATATGGGTAAAACCACCCTTGCTTACCATGTAAGGCAGTTATCAGAAAGGTGAAATAACTATATTTACTATGTTCGCCGGGTATTTAATGTGCGGCTTCGCCCGAACATTGTCTTTTTTACTTGATATCTTTGCCTTTATTCCTTTCTTTGAGTGAATTTACAAAATTCTTATTCC